GTACCCCCGTCCCCCGTCCCCCGTCCCCCCGTCCCCCGTCCCGTCCCTCCTCTCGTCCTCCTCCCTACCCTCCTCCTACCACCACCACCACCTCCTCCTCCTCCTCTCTCTCTCTCTCCTCCTCCTCTCTCTCCTCCTCTCTCTCCTCCTCTCTCTCTCTCTCCCCTCCTTTCTCTCTCTCTCTCTCTCTCGTCTCCCTTCTCTCCCTCTCTCATCTTCTCCCCCGCCCCGCAGCTGGATCACGCCCGCCGCCGGCGCAGGCCTCGGCTCCGCCACGGGCCTCATCACCGCCGCCAACCTGGACCACAAGAGCCTCTCGGCCTCGGCACAGAACCTCAGATTGGACGCAAACCGCGTGCGCTCCGACGACCTGCACCTCATCGGCTCCGTCCTCGGCGCGCTCGTCATCCCCGCCCTCTTCCGTGAGTCCGCCGCGCCTGCCCTGGTCGACGCTCTACCATCGTCCCGACAGCATGTGGCTGACATGCACGCACGCACGTCTGCCTTTGCACCCCCTGCGCCCCGATGCAACATACGATGGGCAGTCCGGAGGGTGGGCCTCATCAATGGCCTCCTCGGCGGCGCCGGCGTGGGCGGATCCATCGGCCTCATCACGCATCAGGTGCAGCGGTACTCGTCGGCCTCGTCGGCGGCCGACGGCGCAAAGAGCCAGGTCCAGTCGGACCTCCGGTCACTGCGCGACGGCGCGAAAAACGTCGTCGACAAGGTCGAGCAGAAGCTCTAGCGGGCATGCTTCCCTCTCCATCTTTCCATTGCGCAGGATGTCGCCCGGCCCTTTTTCTCGATCGATGGCGCCCCCCGAACGGCGCACGTCGAGACCGCAGAGAAGCACTCGGATGCAATGCCATACAGTACGATCCCAAATGCGACACTCGCCCCGCGGCTTTCGTGGCCGCTTCCCGGCGCTGCGCCTTCGTTCCGGACCCACTCCAGCAGCGTCTACGGTCGCTGACTTTCATGAAGGTCGAGGCAAGCGGTGGAGGGGCGAGGATGAGGTGGGGCGAAGCAGGACCTGACAGAGGATGTGGCGAAGAGCCTCGTGGGGTCCTGCACAGGGACGGAATAAACGTCGAGGGAGGAGAAGGCAGCCGGTCAGTTCTCGTCTCGTGTCGCGACGCCGTGCCCGGGGAAGAGAGTTGGTCGGATCGCGCAACCTTGGCGCTGAATGTGGCGACGAGGAAAAAATCAAGGGGCCGCGGCCGATCCGATGAGATCACACCTCCCTCCTCTTTTCCCCCACCACCACCATCACCACCACCGCCATCACCTCGGGGCTGAGTCCGGAGCGGGTTCATCACTGCTCATTTCCATCTCAGGTGATGGCGGTGACGGTGGACGAGCGACGAGGCCGAGTGAGGGAGGTAGAGGGAGAGTATAAAAGGGGGAGGCAGGGAACGACGCCAGGTCTCTCCCTTCCCTTCCCTCCTTTCACCTTCATCTCTCTTCCCCCTCTCTCCCTCTCTCGCACCACGCTCCATAGCCACCTACACATTCCTTACCCTCCTACACTCCCGCACGCCAATCGACCGAGCCATGACCGGCTTTCCGCGTCTCCTCGTCCTCCTCCTCGGACTGGGCACGACGTACGCTCACCTCGTCGCGGCCACGCCTTTGTACCGGCAGCAGCGTCACCACGACACCTGGACGGGTCGAGGCGACAGGTTGATCCGACTGGCTCGTCGTGCCCCCGCCGTGCTGGCTCCCGTCGAAGGGATGCTCGCCGATACGGCGTCGAGCGTTGTCAACAAGGTACACCATCTCCCGCTCCCCCTCGGCGGTGCAGGCGAGGTCGAAGAGACAGGACGACGCACGATGCAGCGTGAGTTGGCTTGTCACCTCGATCCTCGCACTTCCGGGTCGATGAGGCTGGGCTGGTTGAGGCTTGGGAGAGACGCTGACTTCACCCCGCTTCCCCTCACATTCTTACGTCCCCGTCTCCCTCCCTCTTCCCCCTGTTCGCCTACATCTCGACACGCAGCGGGCCTAGAACGATCCAAGAGCTTCTCAGGGGGGTCCATCACATGGCCCCACCCGTCGTCCTCCTCCTCCTCCTCGTCGACACTGACCGGCCTATCGAGCACGAACCCGGCGCGGCAAACGGAGATCGAGGACGCGATCCTATCCCACCGCGACCGGCTAGACGACATCGACGCGACGCTCAAGACGCACGACAAGGCGATCCGGCACGACCGCGCCGTGCTCGATGCCGACTCCGAGTCGCTGCACCACCAGTTTGGCCAGATCAACGAGCTCGCCGCGGGCCAGGCGGAGGTGTCGTCCCGGCTCGACGGACACGGGGCGCACCTCGACGACGTCGATGCGCGTCTCGCCTCGCACCGCGCGCGCCTGGATGGCATCGACGACAGGATGGACGATATGCTCGAGGACCAGGTCGGCCTCGCCAGGGCGACACAGTGGAACGACCGGCGCATCTCGGCCCTCGAAAACCCGCCCATCGACGCCGATGCCGATGCCCAGGCCGCGCGTCGGAGCGACAGGCTGGCCAAGACCGGTCTCGCCGTCGTTGGCGGCATCGGCGCTGTGGGCACCGTCGGCCTCGGCATCGACGCCGCCGTCACGCACCACCGCATCGACCGCCTGCAGAATCAGGTCGAGTCCCTCTCCAACCCCTACCCCAGCCCCGGCCAGGGTCAGCCCCCTGCGACGGCTCCGGGCGTCGACGACGACGCGGCCAGAATCGAGCGCGCCAGGCTGCACCTCTCCAACCCAGCCGCATCTGAAACCGGATCGGCGGCGTCGTCGCCAAAGGACTGGGTCGTCGGTCAGGGCGGAGAACTCATCCCCACCACCAAGAGCTAGCTGGCTAGCCCCGGCACGACACGGCACGGTACGGCACTGATTCCATGCTGACATGGACAGCCTTGGTCGTCGTCATCGCCTACCTGCCTGCCTGTCTGTCTGTCTGTCGTCGTCCTGATGCTGCGCTCCCCCTCTCGTCGCCGCTGCCCGCCCTCACCGGACGCAGCGCGTACCCGCCCAAACCCGTGTCCCGCCCGCCCTCGTCTTCGTCGCACATCCTCTCCCGTCGCTCCCAGTCTCCCTCCTTCCAGATGCCATGCCCAACCTGACCCTCCCTACCCAATTCATCGCAACCCTCTGTCCCCTCCCGACCCTCCCTTGAAAATTCCTTCCCCTCCCCACCGCACCTTGCTTTCCCGCCGCTGGTCCCTAGTCCTCATCCCTGGCAGCTGCTCCACACCTCGACCGCCCCACACGCCCACGCGCGCGCATGTAGGTACGAAAGTGTCGCGCCCTTGCCGGGCAGTCGATCGTGCCGTCCCTCATCGCTCGCCAGCCAGCACATACCGGCCGACTTATCCTTGCATCGCCAGCACCTCGCTTTCGCTCCGATATGGCGCTCAACGAGGCAGCGATCCCCTTCCCCTGCCGCCGCTGTGCGAGCGTCACGGCAGCGCCTCAGCATCAACGAGGGGCGGTATCACGTCTCCCTCCCTGCCGTCATCGCCAGGGTTCTGACCGACCTGCTCGCGGGCCCAGTCGTCGGGGAGCAGGTCCCGCTTTTCGACCATGGCGACAAAGGGCGCCGTGACGCGCCACCGCTCCAGGAAAGGGTAGACGGCCGCATCGCAGCCGCGGATCCGCAGCGTGAGGCACTTGACGCCGCCGCAGGCCGCCTTTGCGCACGCTTCGTTGACCACCTTGACGTGCTTCGAGATGCTGCTGTCCCGAAACTCGGCCGACGTGCCCAGCTCGAATACGAGCGTGAACAGCGGCGGGTCTCCCTCGCGCGTCGGCGGCGGCGGCGGCGGCGGCGGCTCCTCCAGTGTGCCCTGTTGCGGCGTCGGCGACAAGGCATGCAGCGGCCCATGGAAGCACGCGCGCGTCGCGCACGCGTCGGCCTGGTTCTTGGCTTGCCAGCCAATGTACGTCATGCGTGCCGCTGCCTCGCGCTCGTCGAGCTTTTCGTCGAGGGATCCCAGAAAGACGGGCAGAATGCCGTCGATGCCGCGCTGCGAGGAATGGCACTGCAGGGCGACGCCGCGCTTCCAGCACTTCCAGAGGTACTGCCTCGAGATGAGCTGCAGCTCGCACACCAGCACCGCCATGTGGGTGAAGTTGAGCCATGCGCCGCGCTTGGGCTCTGCGGGGCCGCTGCCGTCGCCCTGGCTGGACCTTGAGCCGCCTTCGCCCTTGTCTGTTCCGGTGCCTCGTTGCTCGTCTCTTTGTTGCTTGGTCGCATCTTGCTGCCAGTGGGACCACGAGCGACCCAGATTTGCCAGACCGCCTCCATGACGCCTCAGATCGATGGCCTGCTCCAGCTGCGCGAGAGCGCTCGAGCCGCGCTCGTGGCCGAGCAGTCCCGAGAGGAAAGAGGACGCACTGACCGCTGGCACCGACTGGAGCAGCGAGAGGATACGGAGAGCGCGTGCACGCTCGACTTCCTCGCTGGCGTCCCGCGCCATGGTGAGGAGAAGCCGCACCAGAAATTCGCCGTTGGCTCCCTTGATGTCGACGGGCGACGCGTTGATCAGGCGCTGTGACATGGTCAGAACGACGTCCGAGTACGTCCATGCTTCCGGCGTTTCGCCGCCTCCATCGTCCGTCAGTCGGTACCAAGCGGCAAGAGCCAGAGCCGGCTCGCTCAAAGCCCGGGTGTAGATGGTGTCATCGTCAACGAAGCTGAGGATCCAGCGCAGGTGCTTGTCGACCAAAGCCGTTGGGAGTAGCCAGGATCCCAGGCTGCTTCTAATGGGCAGGACCTCGAGGCACACTCGGTGCGAGAGGAGCGTGATGGCCCGGAGCTCGGGACTGACTTTGTTGGCGTCGACCTCGCCGCACAGCTTCATTGAGGCCACCGTCACCAGCCGATTCGCCCCGTACTGGTGCCACAAAGCCCGACCGTACCGCTTCAGGGCGTCCAGCCGGAGCGCATCGGCAGGCCTGGCGGGGTGGTGGCTTGGATCGACGAAGACGTCGAACCCGACCGGGATCAGCGGAGAAAAGGACAGCATCTCCTGCTCTCTGGACGACTTTTTGTGCTTCTCCGATGGGACCATTTGGCCTACGGAGCTCGACGTATCGAGCAACAGCAGCCAAACGTCGAGGTCGGGGCTGGCAATGTCGTCAATCATCGAGAAGCATCGGCGAAGGTGCAGAAGCATTGCCTTGCTCGTGAGCTGTTCCAAGAGCGTGCACTCGTCGATGGCCAGGAGCAGCAGTGGCCGCTCGAGGTCGAACTTCCTTTGTGCAGCCTTGACCACGGGCGCCTCTAGCAGCTTGTCGCTGAGATCCTGCAAAGCTGGCTTGATGAGCAAGCGCACCATTTCCTCGGCCCGTCCGATGATCTCGTCGTGTTTGAACTCGGGCATCGCATCTTCCGTCTTGGGCACGCATCCACGGAGCACTTCGTCACGATACCGGGTGACGTTAGCCCTGGCGCGTCGAGCCACTGCCTCAAAGGCGTCGTGACGCTGCTGGTTGGGGATCCACTTCTTGGTCGAGGTCTCCCGGACGCTGTAGTCCCAGGTGGCAAAGAGGCCAGCCATGGAGTCGGCTCCGACGTGGACGGTGATGGCGGCCTGCTTTAGCCACGCTGCGATGAAGGCGATGACGATGAGGTCGGGGTCGACGGTGCCACTTTGGCTGAAGTAGTCCTTGGCGGCATTATCTTGGAGCGGATAGCCGGACGTGGGGACTGCGTCGTTGCCAGAGCGACGTAAAGTGAGCGAAAGCGACGGCCAGCAGTGGCGCAGCTCCCAGACCTAGCGGCAACACAGACAATGGGTGGGCACGGTGGCGGAAGCCGGACTTGGGAAGATGAGCGGAGAAGCAAGGCAGAGAGCGAGAGGCATGGCCAAAAAACAGGGCAACTCACCAGGCGACTCTTGCCTGTCCCACTCGACTGCACGATGGGCAGAGTCTTGCTGTAGTAGTAGTTGCGCTTGTCGCCGGTGGCTCGGGCTTCTCGGTACCTGGCTCCGTACTCGACACGGATCAGATGCTCTGCCCAGCGAACCTGATCACCCAGGTAAGGCTCGTTGAAGGAAGCGGCGAGCTGCCAAAAGGGAACTGCCTCGGCTCCGCTGAGCACTGGAGGTCCGACCCTCTGAGGCACTTGGGTACCATGGACGAGCATCCAGTCGAGCAGCGCGACGGGCTCGAGGTCTTCCGACTTGGACCAGCGCTGGTAAAAGCGGCGGAAAAGCTCGCCTTTGTTGGACAGGACCTTGATGGGGTTGCCGTCGCTGTCGATGAGGCGTCGAGAAAACTCAAGGGGAGGCGCTTGCTTGACGAACTTCTCGTAGGAATGCATTTCCCTGAGCCACACGGAGATGTCTGCATGTAGCAACTGCTGATGCTCCTGAAGCATGGCCGGATCGTCGGCCGGATCGGCGGCAAGGATTTTTCTGAGGGCCGTGATCTGAAGTGTCATGAGCGACCTCGGAGAATCGAGCAGCTTGGCACAGGCGCGGCGAAAGCCTTCTGATACCAGCGCACTGTCTGCTGTGGATGCCGTCGATGTCGGCGACGAAAGAGGCTGCCTTTCAGGCGGCACATCCTGCATGTCAACGTCGTCGTTGCTGGTCATGGCGAGCGATGGGTTGGTCGCCGCGGCCAGGTATGTGGGGGACTCGTGTTGTGGTGTGAGCGAAGAGATGTGGGCGGCCTGGATGCTGAAGGTGGAAGTCGGAAGGCTAGCCTGCGCCCGACTGAGGGCAGCCAAGCAAGATGAAGGCAGACGCAAACGAGGTCCAAGCGCGGACCGCCAGGCTAGGCAGGGTCCACTCGGCGGCCGGCAGACGGAGGCTGCCAACCCGCAATCATCAAAATATTCTTGAATTACTAAATTTCACTGGGCTGTCTGGCTAACTACTATGTCCGAAACCCGAGCACATCTCTAGTTATCGCGGCCCACGGTGCAATGGCGCCCACTCGACACGTCCTCTTCACAAGGCTCCAAACCCCAAACACGATGACAATTGGCTACAGGCAGACGGCCGACGACCCAAGACGGCGTCAGGGCTCGACGGTCCATTTGGCCTGTACGAATCTCCTCTGCCTTCCCTCTGCGCGCTTTCGGTTGACGGCGGTGCGGTAGATGGACTCGACCTCTCCGGTGATGCCGACCTGGCGGGCGAGGGCGTCGAGTTCGTCGCGCGTGAAAAAGTAGTTGAAGGTATTGTCGCCGCGCTTGTACCAGGGCCGTTGGGCGTCGAGGAGCGACGGTTCGGCCCATCCGGCGTCCTTTTTGGTGTGGTAGCGCACCTGCGACAGGTCGCCGTGGGCGTAGTCGCGCAGAATCAGGTGGCCCCGCGTCGGCGTGCCGTCCGGCAGCGTCGGCCCCAGCAGCGACAGCTGGTGGCGCAGCAGCGTCACCATGCTCGCCAGCGTCGAGGCGTGCAGCTGAGGCGGAATGGCCGACAGCACGAAAATCATGCTGATCGTCGTAATCGGCTTCCAGCCCGCCGTCTGCGGCGTCGAGAGAAACGACGACAGCGGCGGATCGCTGCTCGTCAGGTCATACACAAAGGCATTCACCCGCGCCGCGTCGTAGTTGGGATGCGCCTGGCCAAAAAACGGGGGCGAGGCGAGGCGGCGAGGGAGACAAAGAGGTTGATCGAGTGTCAGCATGCCTTCCACAGGGCCCCAAGCCGACCCGACCCGACACGACACGAAACGACACGGCACCCCCCCACCCCGACGAGCACGCAACCCGGCTCGGCCCGGCCCGGCCTGGAGACGCACCTTGACAATCTCGATGGCCCTCTGGGAAAAGTCGCAGCAGTGCACCTTGAGCTTGGGATCGGCCTCGAGCAGCGGGAAGAGCATGTTGCCCACGCCGCATCCGACCTCGAGCAGCACCTTTTCCTCTCCATCGCCGTCGCCGTCGCCGTCGCCATCGCCGGACTCGCCCGCCTCGCGGCCAGCGACGAACCTCGCCTCCTCTTCGCGGTCATCCTCCCCGCCCCGTTTCGCTCCCGCTGCCGTTGTCGACGCCGTCGAGGCGGTTGCGGACGCAGGCGGGGACGCGGGATCGCCGGCGCTGCTGCCGCCAATCTGCGACCCAAACTCGCGGCTGGTCCAGTGGCGGTCTTTAAAGAAGCGGTCGGCGTGCAGCTTGTAGAAGCGGTCCCAGTTTCGCGACGCCTCGCGCGTCGTCTTGTCGACGACGAACGGCGTCGCCGTGCGTCGGTTGGTGGCGAGCACGGCGCTCAGCTGCGCCTCGACCTCGGCATCGTACGCCTGCCGTTCGTGCGCCTTTGGCGGCTCGTCCGCGCTTCCCGCTTTGTCTTCGTTTGTCTTGTCGTTCGATCCTGCCGCATCGGCGGCGGTGTTGGATGACGATGCGTCGAGCGAGAGAGCGGCGAGGGATGGCGGCTCTGCGCTCGGTGTGCCCGTCGAGGTCGATGTGGCCGGCGTGTCCGACTCGCCCAAAGCGGAAGAGATCAGCGCCTCGTAGCTGAACCTGTCGTCGTGGTGGCAAGGGAGGGGTAGCGAGTCGATGCGTCAGCAAAACCTGAATCAGACCGACGAGAGAGCAAACAGCAACGGCGGGTCCTCGTCCCTCGCGGCATCTCTCGCGCAAGGATCCCGGCGGCGCCGTCGGCACCTCCGAGTGCAGCTCAGAAGCATCGACGCCAGCAACGCCACCCGCACTCGCACACTTCGCACGCATCCCAGCACACACACACGCACACGCACACGGACACAAAGGCACGCCCACTCGCCATTGAGCCGCAGACGAGTGCCCTCCTCTCTGGATCCACTCGAAACGGGCGCCACGAGAGCCATGACGAGCGAGACGCTGGCCGAGCTGAGCCGGTGCGCACGGATCCGGCCGGCTGGAGTAGGGCGTTGATCGAATGTTCATTGGGCGTTCCGCCGGGCGGCGCGAGGTATACGGGTGGCAGGTTGCTCGACGGCGAGTGGCACGTGTGCGCGTGTGTGCATGTGTGTGTGTGTGTGTGTGTGCGCGGGCGCGTGCGTAGTGCCGTGCGCGGAGGAGCTCTATACGAGGCCGTGGGACGAGCGCGTGCGTGCGTGGCCGCAGTGCTGCGGAAAACGCAGCATGGGCCAGGCGGTGGCGGGCAAGAGGAGCGTGCCGGGCACGTCGGCGGATGGCTCCGCTGCCGATGCTTTTCAGAGGACTGGCGACAATGCGGCGCGTCGCAGGCATCGCTCCGACGTCGACGTCGTCAAGAGGCACGCCAGCTGGCCGAGACCTTGTCCAAGAGGAAAGAGAGGGGTAGAGACGCGAGGAAGGGGGAGAGAGAGAGACGGCCAGGGGGGCGGGAGAGGGGAGTCGGACGGGGCCAATGAGGCGCGGGTGGCCACTTACCCCTTTGCGCCGAGGGTGTGTGCCAGCCAATCGAGACCCTCGGTGAGGCTGGCGAGAGAAGAAGGGAAAGGAGGAGGGGCAGAAGCAGGAGGGACCGAGTCAGCTCGGGCGAAACCAGGCTCAGACGGAACGGGCGGTGCACCGGCAACACAGCCGACGCACCCCTTGCCGGTGAGGGCCGAGCAGCCAAAGATCTGCCAGGTGCGATCGCGGAAGGCGGTGAGGGCGAGCGCCTGGGAGATCTCTGCGGGGGACAAGCTGCCCTTGATGTCCTGCTTGTTTGCCCATACGAGGATGGGGGCGTTTGCGATGGACTCGTCGTCTGCGATGCGGTGGAGCTCGTGCTTTGCGAGGTCGACGCGGGCGCGGTCGTTGCTGTCGAGGACAAAGATGACGGCGTCGGTGGCGGTGAGGTACGACGACCAGCTGGTGCGGAGCGACGTCTGTCCGCCGACGTCCCAGAGCATGAACTTGAGGTTCTTGTACTCGAATGTTTCTGCCGAGGGGAGGGGGTGAAGGGCCTTGGGACGGTCAGTTTGGCCAGTGCGAGCGGGGATGTCGAGGGGGCGGGCGCAGACGGACCTGTATTGGAGCCGACGGTGGGCGCGGTGCTGACGACGGATCCGAGCGTCATTTTGTACATGAGGGTCGTCTTTCCGGCATTGTCGAGGCCGAGGATGCAGATCTTGAGCTCCTTTGAGCCAAAGAGGCCGGACCAGAGCGAGCTAAAGGCGACGCCCATTGGTGCCGAGGAGAGGGGGGAGGGCAGGGACGACGGCGCCAGGTGTCGGGATCCAAGGGGGGCGGGCGTATAGCGCGCCGGTTATGGTGGTGTCTGTGGGTCGGTGGCGGTGGCGGTGGCGGTGGCGGTGAGGTGCTTGCTTGGTGGTGCAGAACGAGGATGGCATGGGCCGAGGCGAGCTGCCAACCAGGCCCATCCTCAACCGCCCTCTGCCGCCCTCGAATTCTTCCCCCCCCCATTTGGCCACGCCATCCGCCCGAGTCAAACGTCGTTCAAAGGTGCTGCCTGGCAAAGGTGGAGGCACGACGAGGGTTGTGGGCTAACAGAGGGCCCGAGCACCCCCTTTTCCTCGCCTACCCTCCTCTTTGGCCCGCCGCACCTCCTTCTCTCCTTCCTGTCATCCCTCACTCCCCCTGGCCGCCCTGCCATCCCTCACTCCCCCTGGCCACCCTGCCATCCCACCACCCGGCGCAGGCTGGACCGCAGCTCCACCACTCGACCCACTCGACTGCCCCCTCCGCAGCCACCATGCACCCTCCTTCCACCACGCCCGCCACCTCGCCGTCGTCGTCGTCGTCGTCGTCATCTACCGCACACTCGCTCGCCGCCGCCGCCGCCGCCGCCCTGCCGCCCAAGCTGTCCTCAAGTCAGCGCTACGACCACCACCACCACCACGAAGACGACGACGATGACGACCACGACGACAATGACAAGCTGCGTCGCTGCCACAGCCGCATCCTCAACCTCTCGCTCAAGGTCCGCATCGCCTCCCTCGCCGCCCTCTGCCTCGCCTCGTCGCTCCAGCAGTCGTTCGACACCTCGCCCCACCTCGTCGCCCTCGGCCTCGACCCTCGCAACCGCCACGGCCTCTCGTTTGGCGCAGCCGCACCCCTCCTCGCTCTCGTACGCTGGGACACCGTCTACTTTCTCTCCATCGCCTCGCCCACGCCGGCACCCTCGCACCCCGACCTCTCCCTCCCCGCCAGCGGCGGATACAGCCACGAGCAGATGCTCGCCTTCCAGCCGGGCATCGTCGCCCTCCTCCGCATCACCGGCTACCTCTCCCTCGGCGGCGCCGGGGGGCCATGGAGCCCGCTCAGCGCGCTCGCCTTGACCACACTCCTCGCAAACGTCGCCACCTGGATCGCACCCCTCATCCTCTTCCGCCTCATCTGGGCCCACACGGCTTCGCTCCGCCTCGCCTGGCTCTCGGCTGCCCTCTCGCTCATCTGCCCCGCCGCCGGCACCGCCCTCTCGTCTCCTACCCCGGAACCCTTCTACTCGCTCTTTGCCCTCCTCGGAATGCTCAGCCTCGCTCCGCCCTCCTCGAGTCACAGCCAGAGCCAGAGGGGCTCTTCGTCTTCTCCGTCGCCTTCGCCCTCGCCCTCGCCCTCGCCCTCGCCCTCGCCCTCGCCCTCGCCCTCTCCAGAGCCAAAGCCGAGCCCGGCTGCGATACCGACCCGCGACACCTTTACGCGCCGGCTGTGCGCCGCCTGCTGCTTTGCCATCGCCACGTCGTTCCGCTCCAACGGCGTCCTCCTCTCTGGGTTTATCCTGTGGGACCTCTTCTGGGCGCCTGCCCAAGATGCGGCAGGCAACAGCGGCGCGCTGGCTGCCCTCGTCGACCTGTCCGAGGCGGCGCTGCTCGTACCCCTCTCCATCTCGCCCTTCCTCCTGACCCAGGTATGGGCGTTCGGGCGGTTCTGCGTCGATACGGCCTCCTCGCTCGATGCTGGCGGTACGAGACCCTGGTGTCGCGCGGGAAGCAGGAGCGTCTACGCGTTCGTGCAGGACCAGTACTGGTGAGTGTGCGACGAAGCCTCCCAGCAGCCAGGGCTGGCCGTAGTGAGGGGCATAGACCGACCGACCGACCGACCGACCGGGCCCGGTGTGGGCTCACTCACATCCCCCTCCTTCCCTCCCCGACCCACGCGCCGACACGCAGGGACGTCGGCTTTCTCCGATACTGGACGTGGTCTCAACTGCCCAACTTCATCCTGGCATCGCCCGTGCTGGCGCTGTGCATCTACACCCTCGTCTGCTACTCTGCACGTTCCGACGTCGTCGAAATCGTGTACCTCCTCGTCCCCCGCGCCTTTAGAGCGTCGATACGCTCGACGACGACACAGAGCAAGACGTCCAAACCAACAGCCGCAGCAGCAGCAGCCCCGCTCTCTTTCCCTTCTCCCTCCTCCTCCCCCTCCTCCGGGATGACGACCCAACACCCTTCCCTACTCCCCCACATCCTCCTCACCGCCCTCCTAACCGCCACACTGGCACTGGCAAGCCACGTGCAGATTTCGCTCCGCTTCGCAAGTCCAGGCGGCATGCCCCTACTCTGGTACGGCCTCGCCTCGTCCTTCCTCCATCCTCCTCGGTCCTGGCCCCGTCTCCTCGACGCAGCCCTGCTCTGGTTGGCCGGTTGGTACGTCTGTAGCATCCTCCTCTATTCCGGCTTCTACCCGCCTGCCTAGTGGGCGGTCGAAGAAGCGAGCTGGTTCGCTCCGTCCTCATCCTCGACGACGACGACGATGACCCGACCTCACGCCCACGTACGATGACACTCGGCCGCTCGGCGTCAAGGCTGATGTGTGGTGGACGGAGGAGAGCATCGTGCTCCCTTGCCGGTCCGGATGATTTTGCATTCTCGGGACATGCGACGTCAGCCGCGCCCCTCGCCGTTCAAAAGACACCGCTCATCGGCACCGCGTTGCCGCCGCCACCGCCGCCGCCGTAGCCGCCCCTCGGTCCGCCGCCG